GATCGAACATTTAGGTGAGATAAATATATATTTTTGAAAATGTCTAAAAAACGCTCCCCTCCACCCCTCAAATAAAAAAAAAATCCCCTCTCACAATAGTCACCTATAAGAAGGAAATTCCTCCCATTTTCAAAAATGAAATTCAGGCCCTGAATAAATGTCTAAAATTCCTGACTGGAGTATTACTATAAATAATTCTACCTGATAAAAATAAGGCTTTAAAAAGATCGGTATCGGTGATCGTATCGGCAGATACTGCTTTCAGTGATCGGCCTCAAAAATCCTGATCGGAGCACCCCTATTTCTTATCTATAGATTGACTGCATTCATGCCAACAAGAATCCCCATAAGAACAGCACATAGGTTTGGAATATCATGAAGACGTGTAAATGACAGAAATTGAACTTTTCTGTTTTGAAACCGTTTTTTCCCCCCATTTAAGATGTTAATACCTTGCACAAAAGCCATAGCCAACTTCTTGCATGAAGTCAGCAAGTGAACTCTCCATCATGGTCTTGTTCAATTCTCCAGAGTCTGGCAGGATCCGGTCCATGAGAATGTCCCGTTTGTCAGGGTACAGCAGTGGTGCAAGCACCACAGGACAGCGCTCCTGTGGGAAATCTGGGACACAAAAAAAACACAGGACTAAATAAATGACTCTAGAGCACAGCATGAGAACCAGTTCCCATCGGGAGAACTAGCCAAACATAGCATGTAAGAAGTAATTATTTGGTGGATTTTTCCACCAACCTCTGCACAGTGTTTTGAGGAACGCGTCAATCTGCTCTTGTCCGACTCCGCTCGAGCCCTTCTGGCCGAACAGAAGATGGGAGAGGAGCAGATGCAGAACCTCTATGGCAATGTCCTGGAAGCCACCTTCCTGATTCCCTCCGAGGTCTGCGTGCACGTACGAGCGGAGGAGGTCAGGGAGCTTCAGCTTCACAAATTGAGCAGCTGTGAAAGAAAGTTACAGGGGTTTGAGCCGAAAGCCTTTGCAGAGAATCTAAGGCCATGTCCACACGTACATGGGTATTTTTATAAACAGAGTTTTTCCTTCGGTTTAAAAAAAAAATCTCCGTCCACATGAAAACGCAAATGCATGCTATGAAGCACTGTCAAGAGCATGCCAAACCAACAGGTGGCGATATAATCAACCGTAAACCATGTTGGCCAATCAGAAGCGTGAAAAAGTTTCCAGTAGTCAGAGAGAACGGTGCATGCTCTGACGTCACAAGCCAAAAACTCCGGTTTCGCGGTCTACACAATAACACTGCAACCGGAGGTTTGTGAAAATCTTCACCCTTGCAGGAGTTTTCAAAAATGTTCGGTTTCAGTGACCTGGTGCTGCGTTTGTGTGTGGACGAACGGCCAAACCGCGTAGAAAAAGCTGCTTTTTCTAAAATAACCGCGTTCATGTGGACAGGGCCTAATGCTGCAGAAGTGAAACTGAAAACAAATTAAGAGTCAGGAAGTGAACACTTACCAAACCCTCGGAGGTCTGCGTTACTGGAGTTCAGCAGAGCAAGGCCAAAAATCACCTAGCAAAATCAGGTACATTTTTAAACAGCCATTCTCACAATTTTTGACATTATTTTAGAATATATTGGAAAACTTTATGCCTACCTCCTGAACCTTGCTTAGCTTAAGAACTTTACTCAGCTGAGTAAATAAATGAGGTGATGGTTTCAAACTCTACAAACAAGCAGACATGAAACCAATGAACTCAATGAGTATCAAACAAGCACAAATCACAAAACTGCCAAATTTGAATACAAAAAGTTACATATTTTGAAAGCCAGATCAACAAACCTTTTGATAGTGCAGGGGATTGTCAATGGCGTAGCAAAGCGTTGAAATAAAATTTGGTTTCGTAATAAGACACACACACTCCTGGATCAGAAATTGTGTCTGAAGCAAAAAAGAGATGGGTAATAAAACATTAAAGGGGTCATATGATGCGATTTCAAGTTTTCCTTTCTCTTTGGAGTGTTACAAGCTGATTGTGCATAGATAAGATCCCTGAAGTTGCAAAGACTAAAGTCTCAAAACCAAAGAGATATTCTTTATCAAAGTTAAGACTCTGCCACACCACCCTAAAACGGCTCGTTCTAACACGCCCCACATATCTACCTCACTATGTGAAAATATTAGCATAATGCCGCCCAAATGTGCACGCAAAGAAAAAAGGCGTGGTTTCAGTAACCGCAGTTAGAGTTGAAGCAGCCATGTCAGGGAGACGCTGTGTGTTTCTAGGCGAAAGCATTAAAAGTGTCCAGTGTCCAACAAGAGAGTCTCTGGGTGGATGCTGATTCCAAGCAACGTCCTTCAGTGCAATTCTTAGTGTAACATCTGGACAAACAATGATTAAAAGCAATTAGAAATTGCAAATTAAAGCGACAACATTAAATCTTAACATAAAACATCTAACAAGATTTCCATAACACACTCTGAAGGAATAATCGTCCCCAAAAATAAATTCTGTCATTATTTATTCATTCCTAAGCTTCCTTTCAACTATGGAATACAAAAGATGTTTTATTGTTCATATAATTAAAGTCAATGATAAAATTAGGTCACCAAACATCCATCTAAATATCCTGAATTCCAAATTATGTACAGTATATAATACCTATTATGTACTCAACCATCTAGTCTAAGAATCTTATGAAGTTATTTTGTCCTCCAACATAAAAGTCTGGTAGCCCCTCACCCTTCGCTACATAAGGAACGGGCTCCGACAGTTGAGTGCACTTAGGGTGCTTTCACACTAGCACTTTTGGTGCGCACCCGGGTTCGATTGACGTCAGAGTTCGGTACGTTTGGATGATGTGAACGCTGACTTCCGAACTCGGGTGCGCACCCGCGAACCGTACACGAGTCCGCTTAAAAAGGGTGGTCTGGGGTACGGTGCATGTGAACTCCAGCACGGTTCGCTGCTGATGTGAACGCAATCGTACCAAATCGCGGAAGTGAACCACTATTAATGGCGTATTATTTGATAAAAATGTGTGTTTGTGTGTGTTTCACTCACTTTCTTGACGAGCGTGACTGACGCGCTGCA